GGGAGTTGTTTTTAATACTGCCTATGAAGTTGGAGTTGTCACCATGCCTGGAAGCAAGTTAACGTTGCGCTAAGCAGGATCTGGAGATTTGAGTACTACAAGGAGGCATAAATGTATGGGTGCCCTGCTGATAGTAATTGTTTTGCAAGAAACTGGAGAGGTTCTTTCCCTTCTGAACTAGCCATCCTACTGTAACTGCTTTTGCTGTTTTACAGCAGAGCTTTGACTAGTGTCTTCTATTTCTTGAAGCTATTAGATGACCCTTTGCTGAACCATTCACGTTTGTGAGGACTGAATGCTATGCTGTGAATCAGCAGCAGGGCAAGCCATATGTTAGCCTGATCTTGTAAAGTGCTGGGCAGCCTGAGCACCCTGGTGAGGCTTAGCTTCTCTCACCCTTGGGTTCATGTTTCCAAGCTATTTAATATGCAAGCCTAAGCCTGTAGGACTGTAACATTTACTAGATTGCTGGAGAACTCTATTTTGTGGGAAGATGACATGCATATGTAGACAGAGCTGTATAAAACTGTTGTATCAAGACCCAGCTCTTTCTGTACTGTGCCTGGTTTTGAAGGTAAATGTGTTCCCTAGTTCTGAAAAGATAAGAAGGCTGCAGCTGCCTCACGGACCTCCTTCTTCAACCACCTACCTGTTTTTTTTTCTCATTTATGAGGCATTAAGCTTTCCCAGATGTAAGCCAAATTTTATTACGTGTCATTCTGCACGTACAGGGTGCATGAATAAATACCTTTACCAGTATCTTGCTTGTTTACATGAAGAAGCATTTGGCAGTTCTGTGTTCTGGTTACTTGCAGAGTTTTAAAAATGCCAGCTTTAGCTGGAGTAGGAAAGTAGCTTTGCAGAAAGCTTTGTTATATTGGGATTGGAATTGGACATGCTGGAATAGCTCTCTGTCTTTTAGAAGTTAATTTATAGCTCAACTTAATCCTTTACGTGCCCTCAAATCTGGAGTCTGTTAGACGACTGTCTATAGAAATGTCTTCTGACTTCAATGTATTAGCCCTCAGAGTTTATTTTGGAAAAATACAAAAAGAGACCCTAAAAAGGGATGGACTGCATCACTGGTAAATGGTTAACGGCATGGAGATTTTATTACAAATGGGTTGCAGAAAAATCATACTCTCTTCTGATGATATGAACAGCTTGGTGAATAAAGGTGATAATGAAGAAGGAATCGACCCAGAAAAATCACATGCCTTTGCTCTGGCACTAGAATAGGAAATAATGGTTGGACATTTTCTTGCTGACTTATTTGAAGGCAGGGTGAGGTACTGAAATAACTTGAGAATTAAACAATGTTTTTTAATCTGTTGTTTTTTCATTTCTGGTAGATTAATGCTAGATTCAAGACACCACTTGCATTACCTTATCTATGTGAACTGGTGTTAGTGAACTTCATAAAAATCTTTTCCTAGGGCTAGCATGCCCTAGCATGCCAGCCAAGGTTAAAAAAGAAAAAAAAATCAGCACATCTGTAATCATAACTGATTGCTTGATACCTATTTGCATACAGTCCTTTCTTCTTTCCTTCTAGTATACTTTTTTACCTTAATGCTGCAATGACATTTTCCCTGCTAAGTAAAATCATCTAATGAAAATGAATGTATTTGTGAGGCCCAGTGCTGGATAGTTTTGCCTTCATTTTTAGAATACTTGGATTTCTGCTCAGGATTTTATTTGGTTTCTGCCTGATACATCATCTCATCAATAGCTGTCGCACTCCAGAAGTGCTTGATGGATTCTGAAATGTCAAAGGAATGTGGAAGAGATGCGAGCAGGCAGTCAGGGTTGTCTAGTAGCTTTTCTTTTGCTGTGGTATACTGAATTTCAGTAACTTCAGGATAAAAGAAGTGAATGTTGCTGTATTCCATGGGAAAATGTCTTGGAAATGGATTAAAACCTGTTAAAATAATTTGCCTGGATTTAGTGGGTCTGTCAGTTGAAACAATGCAAATAACTTTTAAGTCTTGAGACTGATTAGTACCAGGGGAGGGCGGGGAGAAGGCTGATTAGGAAGAAATGGGAGGAGGATTAAACCAAACTTTCCCAGATTAGTGTGTTTAGCAATGCAGTATTACCACTAGGTCAGCAGAGCACGTTGCCTGCTTCCTGTTCCTTATGCAATGTGACTGTGTTTCAATTTGCTAGCTTGATTTGATTTGTTTACAGCTGTTTGGGGTGTGTGCGTGTGATTGGCTGTTAATTTTTTTCCTAGTGATATAATGAATGATTTTGTACCTCTAATGGGAACAAAGTCTGGCAGAGGTTGGGAGGGCAGATCAAGGACCCAGGATTAGCTCTTCCACATGGGCAGGGATGGAGTAACAAGTTTGTTGTGTTCTGACACAAAGAACCGAGCCTATAACTGAAAAATGTGACCTGCTGGCACGATGGGATATCAGTGATGTGTGGAACTGTTGTCCCAAAATCCCAAAGTAAATTTTATGTCAGACCCTTCCATCAATTTGTTCTGTACCTGGAGTAGCATGCCATGAATATCTGCTTGGGGTCTATATGTGACTGTTGTCACCCGATCATATACTTGATATGATGTTGTTAACTTACACCCCTTTGAGACCCTCAGGGTTTATGTATTCCCCCATTATCCTGTCACATACTGGAGACTGCTCCTGGGGAGTGGTGATCGCTGGAAGATGCTTCTTCCACACACCTCTTTGCATTGCCCATCCTCAAACTGTCCCGCACAGATGAGTAATGATGTTCTTTATTACTCTTTGGATATTGGGTGAGGAAATTGAGGATCTGGTAGTCTTTAAAAACCAAACTGGTAGAAGCTTTGAGGATGGCTAACACAAAGATATAGGATGCCTTTGGTGTCAGCCCATTATTCTGAAGCTTCTTTTAGTGTTAGCAAGTTTAAGCCAGAAACATTTATTTTCCAAATTCAGAACAGACCACACAGCTGCAGACACTGCAGGAATAAGTGAACTGAAACAAAAAGGGGGAAAAAAAGGCATGTTTCTAACACTCAGTTTATTTCAAAAGATTTCTCTCACCCTGACCCAACTGTACAACTGACAAATGGCATCACAGTTGCTGTGTGAGGACTTAGAGCTGAGTAAGAACTGCAAGAAGACTATCTTTGAGCTTGTGTTTATGAAAAAGATCCTAGGTCTGAGAACCTCTGCTTCTTTTTGTAATCTTAAATTCATCTTTGGACTCCACCCACATGCATACAAACAAACCAACCCTTTTAATGTCATCAGTCCACATAGAAGGAGTCTCATCCTTCCTGTCATCAAGTCATTGCTTGCTAGCTCCCACTTTGAAGGTGGCAAAGTCTCTCAGGTGTTCTTACAGCCTGGGAGCAGATGGTTAAGGCTCATTCCTATCCTTGCCTGAGCCCTTAACAAGGCTTGTTAATTTATTATAAAGCATGACATCCTTCCCATCCACTGGCTTGGGAAATACTTAAATTCCAAGTGTTTGTGTAAAACTTTTTTATATTAAAAACTACACAGTCTGCATAACCAACCTGCAAATCTTAAGTGAATCCTTGGCATTATTATTGTATGAAAGTGTAATGCTCACTACTACTTGGTCTGAGACAAGAAACAAGAATAATCCATCACTGTGAGGTGAGAATAGTCATGGGGTGCACATGATCTGAGTTTGGACCCAGATTAACTCGGTTCTGAGCCCCTGTTTGTACCTTGGACGGCCTCTGCTCTCCCATCTCCAGCCACCTGTGAGTGTTATCACCACAGTGTTTTAAGTTGGTCAGGATTAGCTCACCCATCTTTTTCTGCCATGTGTTCACATACAGCTGCTGTTACCTAGGCTGTGGCTACGTCTCTTTCTGAGCACTTGGGCATACTTAAGACTCTGGCTAAGCGTTTGGGCCTTGCTGTCCATATTAACCCTCCTTCCTGGCATGCCAAGGTGATGCAGAAGCACCAGGCTGTAACGCAGTATGTCAGAGGCGGCATCAGGCCAAAGTAAAGGGTGTTTTAGAATCTCTGGCCCAGATAGTTAACTGTGCCATGCTCTGCGTGCTCAGGATGACAAGGGAGAACATGAGGGCACACAAACTCTGTCCCAGTTTTAATGGTTTTCTGTACCAGCCCCAGCATAAAGGGTGCTATTAAAGCAGTTCAGAGATTGCTCTGAGGTTTACAAACTCTCTGTGGCCTTATGTATTTGGAGAGAGGAATAGATTATGTTAAGGTTTAAAATGAAATTAAATGAAAAGTGATTAGTTTTTGGCATTACTGAGGAAGAGAAGGATTTGATGGGTTAAGACAGATCCCACTTCCACCCCTTCCCCTTGTTCTTTTATTCCAGTTCTAAGTCATTGTTAACAAATCAGGAACAGAGGAGTTGATATACTATTGTTGGGAATACACTGAGTAAAGATTGACACATCCAAATGCTTGTCTGGTTTTTTCCAGCTGTAAAGCAAAATTATACAACCTCGCTACAAGTCTTGTGTTGCGTAAACACATCTTAAGGATGTGTGTACTTTCATTAGCCAGTTTAGCCATGAGAATACAGAATTATGTGCTGTTTTGTACTCCTGTGTCAACTTAAAGCACTGTAATTACCTCAGTACCTTCCCTGAGTGTGAATGCATTCTATGAAGGCACATCTGCTGGTTCTCTTTATTGCTGTAGATTTTGGGGAAAGATGATTAACCAATATGAAACATTCTTATGCGGGTATGACAGCTTACATGTTTGAGGTTGTTCTAGTTTTGTTATTCTGGGGGGTGTGGGGGGGAACCCAAACCCAAAACTAAATCCCAAATCCTACCTGTATTCAAAGTAGTTAAATGAACTGTGTGTTGATTAGGTCTGAAGTGTACCTATTATTACTGCTTCTCTATGTAGGTATTTTGGGACTGGTTGTTTACATACAACTGAATGTTTGTGTAAGTAGTTGCAGATTCAGTCAAGAAGCTGGTAACAGCAGAGCTAAAGACTTCATTATTTCTATTAACATGTCACTTTTGTTTGTAGAATGAAATGTGTCTTGCCACACAACAGCTTTCGAAGCAGCTCCTTGCCTATGAAAAGCAGGTATGTTCAACATACGCCTTTGATTTCTTTTCAGCCTCAGCATTTGCGAAGAAGTCTGTGTAAATAGTGTGGTTTCCAGAATTCCTTAGGGCATTGGCTTTACTTGGTTTCATGTGAAGGCTGTCGTAAAATTCCCCAGCATGTTCAAGGGAGTCAGGTCACTTCTGAGAATCTTTAAAAAAAAAAAAAAAAGTGCTAAATGTGGGTTAATAACTTCATGAACATTCAAACCAGTTTGTTCCTATTGTATGACTATGACTTTAAAATGAGTATAATAAGCATTAATTATATGTTGTCCAAAATCCATTTATTTAGAACAAGAGGAGCAGGGTAAAAGAGTATCTATTAGTGAGTTACTGTTTTTTCATTTATTTTTAACGTTTACTGCATTTTGTAGGAGCGTTCATTACCTTTATAGTAAAACACATGTTGTATTTTAGACTCACCTTTATTGATTTACTGACCAAACGTGTGTTTCTATTTTCAGCATTTTGCCTTAGGTAAAGGAGATGAAGAAGTGATATCCACCCTTCATTACTTTTCAAAAGTTGTGGATGAGGTAATTTGAATTGCCGATATTCTATTTTTACAATATAGAATATTGATGGTTTTTCTTTTGATCTTTTTCCTTTTGATTCTGAGCCTTTCCACTGAAGGCTAGATTGTGCCTGGGTTTTATAGAATCATTTAACTGGAGGGGAAAGAAGTGTAATATCACCCTTTCGTAATGGTTAGAGCAGTTTCTGTGGCTTCATCCCTCACGCTGTCCTCAGAGCAAAGCTGGACTTCCTAAACAGGGGAATTAGAAAAGAGACTGAAACAGGACGTTTCATCTAGGCTGGTGCCATTTTTAATTTCGTTCCATTTAAAAATGACATTTACATTTTTAAGCTTTAAACACTGCAATTTGAGCCAAAACCTGTGAGGGATGGATGCAGGGCAGCTGTGAATTAGTAAAGTCGTAGTTTAGTTGCTGTGAGATCACACAGAATCCAGAGGTGTCTGGAGGAGGCTGCAGAAATGCCTACTGAAGGCAGGTTAGGTACTACAGCTGTGTGCGCTGAACACTTCCACTCTCTGCAGGTTGTTGCTGAGTACTGAGAGTCTTTCTAAATGCTTTTGTTAGACCTCCCCATATAACATTTCAATATCATCTTAGTATCTAGGTCCTTATTGCTTAAGTATTACTTGTCACATCACTCTTTCTGTTGTGAGCAGGGCTGTGCCATCAGAAAAGGCTTGTTCTTCTTGTTAGTTTACTTTCAACTTTCATTAAGAAGGCAAAAGGCTGTATTGAGGTCGACTTTTTGGGAGAGGAGAGGAGATAGGAGGGTTGTGGGGCAAAAAATAAGTTAAAATTTTTAGAGCCCATGGATAACTAACAATATAGCGAGAGGAATCCCAAAGGTTAACTTTTCCCTTAGGCTTCTCCCGCTGCTCATCTGCTCTCAGGGGATACTTGAAAGGGGCATTTATTGTCACAAGTCTTGTACTTGTCTATGTGAACTATGAATAAATCAAAACAAGAACTTTCTCCTTCCCAGGTACAAGAGAACCATCCCATTTGGGAGCAGAAAGCTGAGAGCCTCTCTGTTCAGTTCTGTCAGTCACATTTTCCCTCACAAGAGCTCGCTCCGTTCCTTAGCCTCCTTTTCTGTGTGTTAGCTACCCCCTGTACCTGTTTCTCAGTTGTCTGTTCTACAGGCATTGAATTGTCCTGGTTTAGTTTTGTATTGTCTAGTGGGAAATACTGACTTCATTCTCACCTGCATAACTCAGCCTAGAGGCCTCCGGGATACTGTGAGCAAGCGGGCAGAATATCATGTCAGCATGTGGCACACTCCTAGTTTGTAGTATCGGGCTGTCGTGGCTTCACCTCAGTCGGCAACTAAACACCACACAGCCGCTCGCTCACTCCCCCACCCCCCGGTGGGATGGGTGAGAGAATTGGAAAAGCACAAGTGAGAAAAACTCGTGGGTTGAGATAAAAACAGTTTAATAATTGAAATAAAATGATAATAATAATATGATGATAATAATAATAATACATAAAGCAAGTGATGCACAGTACAGTTGCTCACCACCCGCCGACCGATGCCCAGCTAGTCCCCGAGCAGCGGCCCCCCCGGCCAGCTTTCCCCCAGTTTATGTACTGAGCATGATGTCACATGGTATGGAATGTCCCTTTGGCCAGGTTGGCTGTGCCCCCTCCCAGCTTCTTGTGCATCTGCAGCCTTCTCAGTCGGTAGAGCATGGAAAACTAAAAAGTCCTTGGCTAGTGTAAGCATTACCTAGCAACAACTAAAACATCTGTGCGTTATCAATTTTGTTCCCATCCTAAATCCAAAACACAGCACTGTACCAGCTACTCGGAAGGAAATTAACTCTATCCCTGCCGAAACCAGGACACAGGCGCTCGAGCAGTGTGATTGATAGTTGTCCTACCTGAACCCATCTAATATTCTTAGCATGCCACTGCTGACATGAGAGCCTTGCCTTCATCCTAAACAGCGTCACGCGAGTGCTTTAAAATATGTCTTGATGTGCTGAATTTTAGAGAAACACTTACAAAAACAGGAATGGGAAACTGCTCTGAAGGGAAAATATTTGAATGGGACCTTTCATTGTGTTTGCCCCCTGTTGTGATTGTGTCCCGGGTAACCCTCATGAATGGAAAGAGATTCTAGTCATGGTGGTGGGACTGTAACCCTGTGGTGTAGAGACTAACAAAAACTGGTTAATAAAGGCTAATTACAGGTTAAATCCTGTTGGGTAAAGCATTAGCATTAATGGTGAAGTGAACTGCCCCAATAGGGTATGTGGGAACTGAAAAGTTCTTGGATCCCTGGAAAACAGGCAGGAATTAGGCATTTAGGGGAAAATCCCCATCTGTCTCACATATCTTGAGAAATGTATTTTAAGCACTGAAGTACAGTGAAGTACATAATATCCTTTTTTTGTCTGCTGGGCACAAATGGCAGGTGTGCTTCTTCAACAGCTGTAGAGTGCTGTTAGGTTTATTTTTTTTATTTACACTGTGTCTTAGGGCATTCCTCTATTCTCTGTTTCAGCTCAATATTCTTCATTCTGAACTGGCAAAACAGCTTGCAGATACAATGGTTCTACCAATAATACAATTTCGGGAAAAGGATCTCACAGGTAAATTTTATTTTAAGTTTTAATTTTCTTCATGTGTTCCTTCTTGCTTATTTCATAATAAACTGAGACATAGTGTCATGTAATAATTTGTTCTTTGATGATTCACAGTAAAGTTTTTTGTGGTTTTTTTTTTTCTGCTACAGAATTTCATTGACAGGTGCATGCTTTTACTCAGACTTAAATAGTGCAAGTTCACCACATAAGGTTTTATGCACCATATGGTGCACGTTTGAAAATACACAGCTTTGTTCTTTGTTGAGTCACTCTGCTTTTACACTAGTGTAATTTTACTGAAGTCATTCATGTTATAATGGCCTAAAGAAGGAAAATTTAGCAGTGAATCTGGCTTGCAAACGGTATTTATCCCACTTCAGAAGTTTGGGTTTGTTGGAAAAACACAAGCAAGAATGCTTTTTTCACTTCAGGGTATAGTATATTCCCTCCTTTTTAACGAATTAGCCCGCTTTAAATCCTTGCCATCCAAGGGTAGTTCCAAGTAACCTGATTGCACACACTTGGAAATTCATTACTTAAACAGCAGAGCAATAGTGCAAACATTTGGTGTAATTTGAAAAGAAAGAAGTTCATATTCAAGGTCAAGGACACTCTAACCTACTCATGCAACAGAAACATGAGTTTTTACTGCAGCGTTTTAGGTTGGTTTTTGGTTGGTTTTTTTTTTTAAAGCCCACTTCTCAACTCACTAAGCTCAGTCCTATTTATGTACTTTTTAAAGACAATTTTGATGGGAGACAAAACAACTACAGCAAAATAGTGACTAGTTAAGGTTCCTTGTATCATAGCATCTCATTTGAAATTGTGAAGACATCAATGGATGTCTTGTTTATAACATAATGTCAAATATAAAGCAGTATTTGAATGGTAAGATCTTGGTTCTGTTCTTGTGAATGTGCTTTCTCTGTAGCTTTTTAAGAAGGGTTTTGCCAGTTGCAGCATAACGTTGGTACGGACACTGAGAGTAGCTTGTGCCCAACACTTGTGAAAGTTGAGTCGCCTGTTTACTTTCTCTTCCTTCTACCTGCATCCAAAACTCATGGCCAGTGTTTGTTACGTAAGCATCGTAGCCAGCAGTCAGATGTGTTAGATACTTGCTTCTTTTCACAGAGAAACTTAGCAAAAAATGTTCCACATTGATGAAGATTCATGTGCAGGGAAGGGGCTTAGTTCATATGTCTCTGGGACTTAGATTTCTCGTATCACATAAGCATTGTCAGGAAGTTGTTCAGAACTGCCGATCTTTCATGATAGTGGTGAGCCTTTTATCATAACAAGCATAGTGACATGGTGCTTCTTTGGGTAAATTACACTGGCAGATGAAGAGTCTTTTTCGTAGTGATAACTTACTCAAGTAAACTCACTCGACTCTTAATTTGCTATCTGCCTATTCATTTCTCTAGCAGCTGATCTGGTTTATCATTTTTAAGACAGGCACAACTTATGCATCTCTGCTTTGAAAGGATTGGAGTGACTTAGGCCTTAAATGTGCCATAAATGGTCTCAATTGAAGAAAGTGTTTACAGCTGTTTTTACTTTGAATATTTGATTTCTCTTTTCCAGAAGTAAGCACGTTGAAGGATCTTTTTGGCCTTGCTAGCAATGGTATGTTTCCCTGTTTTGTTTGTTTGTAATGGTGTGCACCTGTTATATCACAGAAGATACTTTTAATCTACGCACACACACATCACATTTCTAAAAAAAATAATATTCCTTGTCTACAGAACATGACGTGTCCATGGCAAAGTATAGCAGGTTACCGAAAAGGAAAGAAAATGAAAAGGTAACGAACGTGAAACGGAAAAGTTTCCATCAGCTGTTCTGTCTGCATCATTGTTCACTTACGAACTTTGGAGAATTCATCAGTTAAATTCACAGTAGCTCAAGATTACTTGTGATTTCGTTTCCAAGCAGACACAAAGCTTTTAAACATCAATTCAGCAAACTTATACCTGTTTTCTCCAAGTTAGCCAAGTGATCAAGTATTGTGCTGAACTAGAGCCCTTCAGATCCAGGGGAGCTCTTCAGACAGAGGCAATCCAAATGGCTATGAACAGATTTGTATAGGCCTACTGTTGTACAGCTGATGTCATGATGCTGTATCACTGGGTACAATTCATTGTGAACTGTCAGAAAGCCTTGTGTCTGCTGTTTATAAAGCATTCCATTTTTTCACATCTACCTTCCTGCTAAATTTCTCTGTATGGATTGTCATTCCAATTCCATTTGTTGGTGGGATTATTTTACATTTCTTCTTCTTTGCCCACTGGACCACTATTCCAAAATATATCCCTGTGTGCCAGAAAGTGTGTGATTGGCCCTATCCTAAGAGTGCATCAGTTCTACAGGATGGTCCTTTAAAGGAAAATGCATTACAGAACAGAATGTGAGATAGCATATTGTGAATGCTACATCTCTGCATTCTGCACTTGCAGGCTTGTGTTGTGATGTCAGCTGCAAATAAATTTCTTGCACTGAGATCAGATCCAGAATTTTAGTTGTGGTAGTTACATAGTTTATAGTCACAGGGGCTCCCCAAATGCTTAAGTATCTTGCCAGAGAAGGGCTTGAAGTATTTGCTTTGGGCTTTGGATTTGCTTTCTTAGTTTCTTATCCTTCATTTTAATGTGGAGAAGTTCTGTAATGAGAGTTGTTTAAAGATAACTTGAAAATAATCAGTAAATATATGCACAGTAACACTTTATCAACTTCTTTATCGATTTTTATTCAGCTTAAGGCAGAAGTGGCAAAAGAAGTGGCAAATGCAAGAAGAAAGCAGCACCTTTCATCTCTGCAATATTACTGTGCCCTGAATGCTCTGCAGTACAGGAAGAGAGTGGCAATGATGGAACCTATGCTGGGATATACACGGGGACAGGTACAGACAGTAAAGCGATTATATCACTTACACATGTACCTGGGAAAAGTAAAACATTGTAGCTCTGGATTTTTTTTTTTTTGAGAACTGACAAGTGATAACGAGGGGCTGGAACTTTTATTCAGCTTGCCTAGATTCTGACAACTGATTTTGTTTGTGGCAGATAGTTGAATGTTTAGATATTCAGAAAAGGCACAGATTAAAAAAAAAAATCCAATACACTTTTATGAAAAATCATCCTGGGGTTAATTTTTTCACAGCTAAGCTATCAGTGCAGCAGCGTTTACTTCCACTGTTTACTCTGTCTGCACAAACTCTCCTATGTAGCAGTTCCCTTCCTGGCACATAATGTTCAGCATACTGATGAGGAGTGTACACGATAGGGAACAGAGCATGCACTGGAGAACTGGAAGGACAGAACAGTAGAGTGGATTGAGCATAAGGCTGGCAAATCCTCTTTCTAATCTTTATTCTGCCAGCAATTTGATAGGGCATTTCTCAAGTCTGTAAAATGCAGTAGTAATACTGATAATCTGACTCTCCAGGATGTCAGGAGGATCAACAAACTAGTATTTTCACTGCACTTGATTCTCATTGCCACCCATTTTAAGGGTCTGTTGTGCTTCAACATTGATGAAAGAAAGCCTTGGGAAAATGAGAGCTGGGCTGTGAAAACAGAAAAAATGGATGCAGTGCTCTGTTTGAGATTGTAGTGTGGATCATCGTCTCCATTGTCCTGTGTCTTTTGCAGATCATGTGCCCCATATAAAATAGGTAATAAATCAGAATACAGTCACTTTCCCCACCACGGGAGTGCACACTGCTTCTCTGCTGTAATTATACTAAGTGAAAGAACTGTGTTGGTTTCCTTTACTGGAAGCCAAACAGAACTTCCTTTCCCTGTATTTTATCTGGCAAAACTGCCATATCTCAGTGCCTTATACAGGAAACTCTTAAGTTGTCATGGGAATGACTGTGTAGCCAGAAGCCAGTTGATATTGATGCTTAAATACTGTGAACCGCCTTTCAGCCCAAGTATATATTTTCTTTATTAATTACTCAAAACGTGTTTCATATTTCACATTTCCAACAAATGAGCAGGTGATAAGGAATTTTTGGAAGAAGCAGTGGCTAATACAGGGTTTATTTGACTGAAAACTGACATCAATATCTAAGCTAGGCATGTGAGTCTATCATCAGTGGAATTTAGAGCTCTTCCCTCCTGAAGTAGGCTTCTGAAATAGAATAGGTGAATCATTCTATAAGAGAGCATGGTTTCTGTCCTTTGTCTGTAAAGGGAGTCTGTGGTCAATAACATGGTTGCAGAACTCTGAGTTACAGGTAAGAGGAATCCCATGTCCCAAGGTTAGGGAAAAGGAGTGGAATCACAAGTAAAATCAGATGAAATAGCTAATAAATTGCTTAACAGCCAAGAATTTGCTTTTACATCTCTTTCTGGAGTAGTTCACTGATTTTATTTTTTTTAAAAAAGCTAATTAATTGCACACATGTGCTAGCTGTGTCCATGTTTCACACAGTTGCCAGTAGGTCCTGATGATGACTGTGCACCCCACAGTGGGTAATCCAAGGTCAAGTCTACACTGAGTTCTTTGCTGCTGTTGTGTGCCTGCTGAGCCATACTAGCTAAGTGAATTCATCTTCTGTCACAAAATGTGCACTTTGGCCTTAGTAGCTTTTTTTAGCTCCTTCAGTAGAACAAAATCCATGGTAAATCTGTAGTTGATATAACTGATTGCCCTGGGGGCTTCTGCTAGCACAGCTATACTTCATCACTTTCCTGACTGACTTTGCCACAGCAGTTCGAAAATTTCCAGGTTGGAGTTGGTGGTCCAGGTTAGACTACTAAATCTAATGGATGATTTGTGTCCCGTTCCTTTTGACACGGTGGCATTGCACGCAGTGGCGCATAATACCACTAGACCCAATTCTGCACAGTGCTAGTATGGGAGAAGGCTCCCTGTTCCCTTATTTCAGTCATTTAGCAAGTTCATTGGAAACATACCTGTCAGCAGCCAACAGCTTGTGTGTGTGTAAAAGGGTGTGTGAAAGGGTGGAAAGTTGCAAAAGTGAGAAATACAAAGGCAACGCAGCTGTTTTGACCACGTGTTTGATCGCGAGCCCAAAGTATCAGTCATAATGGGATCACTGTTAACACAGTCCCCACAGTCTGTTATTTGTCTGCCAAAGCCAAGATAACTTCCAGTGTCCATTTTTTTGTGTTTTTGTTTTTTTATTATTATTATTATTTTTCAGATCAACTTTTTTAAGAGAGGAGCAGAGATGTTTTCCAAAAGAATGGACAGCTTTTTGTCATCTGTTTCAGACATGGTTCAAAGGTAACACAATACTTCAGCACTGTAACCTTCAGCACGTAACAGAGAGTGCCTCTGTTTCTTTCTCATGAGAGTCCTTCTATGCTTGCATTGCATTGTTGGGCATATTTTGTTAAAGCAGCAGGTGGAAAGGAGATATGTTTGTACATGTAAAGGAAAATGCTGTCAGTACACTGCAGAGAGTATTTTTACAGTATAGCCAGGAACTATATACTGTAAAGTGTTCACATGCTTTCTTACATCCCTGTGTCTCTTCATGGACACAAAGCATGGAATCTGGGCTTGAAATGGATTAACAGAATTAATATAATAGAGCTAAAGTGCATTCTGAATTAGAGGTATTTATACTTGCTGGTTCTTCTGTAATAATAACCCATTAAACTCCCAAATAAGGATTTAGGGTCGATAGTGTTTGGTGTTGTAGCTACACAAGGCAAACAAAACTCCTCTCCCTAGAGAACATGTTCATTGCATCCAGTATAGGCTGTATCGGTCCACTGAGTTCAACCTGCTTTGGCTAAGTCCTTATTTCAATAAACTGCCTCACTTTTGTACTCCTAATTTTGTGATTATTTTTTCTTTCCCCTCCCCCCCCCTTGCAGTGAAGATTGACGTTTTCTTTATAATTAAGTCCCTGTAAATGTAAACTTTACATTTAAAATGTAATCATATTAGGACATTAATAATTTATTTTAAATCAGCTGTAACACTAAACTGAGTCCTTCGCTTTATTGCTTCATACCTTTCATATTGGACTGTATCCAAATCGTTACTTATTCTGACACTGGTGGCATTTTAAATAATGCACACTTGTTAATTTGAGAACAGTGTTATAAGTAATCTCCCTGTATAGTAGATTCTTTCACTAAATGATTCTTTACTTCCTGTACCTCCGTGCTTATTTATATATCTTTTCACACTCAGTTCTGAAATAAATCCCTCCACAGTCTACATAGCATTTGTACAGACTGGAAGATGGATTTTAAACTCCCTTGAAACAGCGCCCTTTACTTATTAAGGTTAGAGCACCTTGCTTTTGTCTTATAGGTACAGTGAGGATCCTGCCATTGGATCCTCACCATAGAATAAGGCCTTGTTTTCCAAAGTCTGATGGATTTGAATTCTGGATAGTACACAGTAGTAAATGGATGTGAAAATAGGTTGCTCAGTTGGTTTGCTGCATCTGGTTTTTTTGTTTCAAGTCTGTCACACAGCAAAGCTTGAAAGTACAACTCAAATGTAACTAGTACAGGAGTGTGACGTCTTTGGAAAAACCAAAAGAGAAGCTTGCAAAATTTTGAATGACGCTGTGCAGCTTAGCAATTACTGACACAGGACACGGTTTCATGACTTACGATTACATAGCTACTGAAAACCATGCTGCCCACTCCTTTCCTTCTTTAGTCCTGGGGATCACAAGGCCTCAGTGAGTCAGAGCTGCTCCCTAATCAAGCTAAAAGCTTTTTATTTGTCAGATTTGTTTTCTTGGAACAACAAGCCAATGAGACCCATTGTGCAGTTACAGAATTTCAGCAGTGATGTAGTCTTGCATCTATTTAAGCTGATTGTGAAACTGAGTCTTCCTATTTAAAAGTATTTTCATTTATACAGTGAATATTGCTAACAGTGTAAAAACACGTAAGAGGGGACAGATCATTAACATATTCTCAGTAACCAATTGGTCTAATTGCCACAAATGCATATAATTTCAGAATTGTCAGCTTTTCTCTCCTTTCTACCTTGGATATGAGGGAAACACACCTTAGGAAGAGGAATCCAGTCTTGGGAACCATGAAAATGCCTGGGCAGTGTTGTTGGAAGCAGTTTGTGGTGCAACAGAAATGACTGATCAAAAGATTCATCAAAGTAGCGCTTATGTAAAAACTGACAGCACTGTTCTATTTTATTTCAAAATGGAATTGAAATAATTCTTATTCTGACATTTAATAATAATGTTGAAAGGCACTAGCTTGCAAAATATAGCCTAATTTAATTCAGATCTGATATTACTCAGCCTTCGTAACTCAGCCTCTTATATGACTTGGCTGGGTGGTAAGATGCACACAGCTGGTCTCATTTTGGAGGTGATGTGCAAGCTTAGGAAGTCTCAGCTTTCTAAAAATGCGGAAAAGCTGGAAATAAGCTAACATGAAACAGACTACCACCATGATGCAAGAGTGACTCTTCATCTGGCCAGTCAGATACTGCTTAGTGCTGACTTAAATGCAGCACTGCGTCTCTAGATTACTTCAACAGTTAGAGGATGTCACCAGCTTCTACAAAAGACTGGGGAGAACAGGAGAAGAATCATATGTACTTGCCTTGTACTTCTCCACAGGCTTTTTGCCACTGTCAGAGACAGGATAGTGGACTACATGGATCTCTGGTCCTGCTGTGTACAGCCTGTGTTATGTGCTCATGTTCTCCAAAAGATGTAACCACTTGGGCAGGAAGTAGGGGGAAAGTTGCTTATTGCATAGGTGCAGGTATTAATGACTTTCTAAGGCATGCAATGACAAGTATTCTTATGTTCCCACCCCATGAGTTTTCCTAGTAGCCTGGATACAGTTAACTCCTCAAGTTTGGAAAAGTTAAGAAAGAAATATTTACTAGTATTGTTTGTCTGAAAGTCAAAGAACAGCTGCTGCAATATGGACCTCAAGAGGTCATCGAGTCCACTCTCCTGCTGAGAGCAGGGTCAGTTAGAGCAGAATGCTCAGCACTGTGTCCACTCAAATTTTGAACATCTCTCTCTGTCTGTCTCTCACTTACGGCACACACAGTATCTGGTTACAACTTGTGTCCATTGTCTCTCATCCTATCACTGCACACCTCCAAGAAGGGTCTAGCTCCATCTGCTGTATACTCTCCCATCAGATAGTTAAGCTAGCAGTAAGATTCCCCCCCTTAGCCTTCATTTCATGAGGCTGTAAAGCAATTCTTGCAGCTTCTTCTCATGTCGCATGTTCTGGCCCCCTAGCCGTCTTGGTGGCTCTTCACTTGATTTTGTTTCTGTCTTTCATGTGCTGGAGGACCAAAACCAGACATAGTAGTCCTGTTGAGTCACACAAGTGCTGAACAGATGGGAATAATTACTTCGTTTGACCCGCTGGCTATACTCTTGCTCATGCAACCCAGGATGTGACTGTCCTTTTTTTTTTGCCACAAGGGCATGGTGCTGGCTCATGTTCAACTTGTCCTCTAGAACCCCCAGGTCCTTTGCTGAAAGTTGCTTTCTATCCAGATGCCTCCCATCCTTTACAGTTGCATGGGGTTATTCCGTCCCAGGCAGGACTTTGTATTTGTCTTTGCTGAACTTCATGACGTTCCTGTCTGCCCATTTCTTCAGCATGTGAAGATCCCTCTGAACAGCAGCCCTCCACTCTACCATATCTGTCAATCAGTCTTCCCAATTTGGTGTCATCTGCTGCTATGGGTTGTCCAGCTCTTATTAAAGACTGTAAACCTGTAAGCGTCGGTATTGACCCATGAGGAACATCACTAACAGCTGGGTACCAGTTGGGCTTTGTCTCACTGATTAGAACCCTTTGAGCCCAGTAGTCCAGCCATGTTTTCTATGCATCTTGTAGTCGACTTCTCCAGTTTGTATTGCACCAGTTTGGCTATAAGGATACTATGGGGGACCACGTGAAAGGCCTTGCTGAAGTCCAGTGAAACAGCATCCACTGCTCTTCTGTCCACCAAGCTAGTCATTGCATCACAGAAGGCAATCAGGATGGTCAGGCATGATTTGCCTTTGGTAAATCTGTGCTGGCTGTTTCCAGTTGCCTTCTTGTCCTTCGTGTGTTCAGAAATGGCTGGAGAATTTGCTCCGTAACTTTCCCAGGGACTGAGGTATGGCTGACTGGCTTGTAGTTCCCCAGATTGTTTTTCTTGCCTGTCTCAAAGGCAGCTGTGACATTTGCCTTTTTTTCAGTCATTAGGAACCTTCCCTGACTGCAGTGAACTTTTGAAGATGATTGAGACCAGCCTTGCAGGGACATTAGCCAGCTCCCTCAGGACCTCACTTCACAGACATGTGGCCAGACCTCAGGTTCACAGAAGGGCAGTGCGAACAGATGGTCTAAAACCATTTTCTACTTCCTTGTCCACAAATGCACCAAATAGCGCTTGCAGCTGACATGGAGATCAAAGCCCTTTTATGTACAGTTTATCTAATAGTTTTTAATTTTTATATTTAATTTAAATTTAATTTTAAAAATAAAATTTAATTATTGTATTAATTAATGTCCCATTTTCAAAATGGCAGGCCTTTAGTTGTTTTCCGATTATGCCCATTGTATTGATGTGTATTGATCAGAAGAGTCTGCAAGTGAAACACAGGCTTACTAAGGTCGATGGAAACAAGGCAGGTTTATTGGTGTGATGGGACTGTCAAGTGGTCTGTGGGAACCTCTGAAAATTAAGTGGCTCCCAATGATTGTCTGACAGTAGAGCTGAATAAAAAAAAGATTAAGGTATTTCACTGGCATATAATGATGACTCCGACCTCTCTGCTTGCTTATTCCAGTAAAATGGCTGCTCTGTTTCTCCCTTCATGCCAAATGTGTCTTACAGGAAGATTATGAATACATAGATATTCAGCACTGCAGTGTATATCTGTATAATGCTTCTGCAATGAATTATCACTTACTTTTCGAGTTGAATTTTGCACTCAGATACCCCTTCACAGTTACCACTTTCAGCAAACTGAATTTTTACAGATACGTTCAAAAAGAACTCAGTTTTGCCAGCCTGCACCGAGGATGTTTTCTGAATCGCACCAAAGTGGAAGACAGTATAATAAGCAAAAATTAAAGCTAAAATGAGACTTGAGCTATAGATTTTGTTATTGTATTGTTCTGAATTCATGGAAAACTTACTGTTGAAAATCTGTGAGCAGTTAATAGGTGGTCTTATGGCAGGAATTCCTGCATGTGACACAGTTGCAGGAATTAGACGGAGTTCTGTGAAAGCCAAGAGGTACTACAGTAAAGCCTACTTTGAACTGTGCCGCTATACTTGGGCAACACCTATGTATGTTCAGTAGTGTGAATTCATACAAGCATTGCTTTTAGAAGCTGTCTCTCTCAAAAAATAAACTTAACTCTTCAGTGTCAATACTTAAGCATTTCTCGTGTGCTCATTTCAGTCTTACAAGACAATCTCATAATTCTGATCATTATCTCTCTATACTGTTTGGGGAAAGAAGATAACTATATTTAGTACAAATTGCAAAAAAGAAAGCACAGCTACAGTATGAGACATATTGAGAGTAACGTCTTCAAGCCGGGCTTTCAAAATAAAGAGCAAGGGGAAATCCTGGCTATGCTTCTGCTGCCAGGCTGCCGAAGAGAGCCATATTTTCCTTAAACCATTGTTAATACCTTCAGAGCATATGCATCTTGTCTTTTTAGGCTCAGGTGACATTTTCTGGGAGTAGTTCCCTGTTGTATGCCTCTTCCTTCCATTCTTTCCTAACTGCAGTGATTTATCTGTCTAGTCCTTAGAGAAAGCCTTGGACATGTAGTCTTACATTACATTTCCTATGAAGTCTATTCTAAAAATAAACTTTATCTTTGCACTACTCTCCAATATAATCTCAACTGGTATTTTTGTTCATTTCAGCTTACAGATGTTAGCTATATCCTGGTATAAATTGACTAATGATGGCTTTGGGTTTCTTATTGTGTTTTTTTCCAGCATACAGGGAGAGCTGGATGCTGAAGCTGAAAAAATGAGGGTATCCCAGCAGGACTTAATTGCAGTTAATGAATCTGTTTATACCCCAGATTCTGATGTAACTTCACCTGCTATCAATAGAAATCTCATCCAGAAGGCTGGCTACCTTAATCTTAGAAAGTAAGAAGGCTGTTGCTACCCGCTGGTTTGTTTAGTTGCTACATTTTTTTTTTCTTTAGGTCGTAAAGACTCCTCAGGTAATGATGTTTGAGGCTCCTGAATCACTGTGGTAGCTGTACTCTTCAGCTCCTAAGTATCTCTGTCATCTTTGGAAATGTGTTTTAGAAGCTTAAACCAAATTAGAGGCATTTGAGACCGTTTTCCTGAAAACAGAAGTTTACTTCTGGTTGAATTCACCTACAGGGATGATTTCCCGCATTCAAGTGGCTAAAAATTAGAAACTGGTGGGGCTGGGTTCAGATCATTTCCAGTTCTTATGGTTAATGAAAACATAGTGTTTACAAAAATAAACAGCTATATTTTGTAGTTAATACATGTTTTTGTGAACAATTGCCTTTACATAAATAAAAACTTTATGGACAATGAAAGTGCATAACTTTGAATGTATACCATATGTAGAGTTACCTCTGCAGATTTTCCGAACAAAATCTTTCATCAGCTTCTGCAGGAGCTATGTATATTGGTGGCACATAGTAACCCTGTTCATGTGATTGATTAAATATCAGTTTATTTCTGTTTGACTAGTAATATTTTTTTTTGCGAGTAGACATTTATTAATTTCTCGTAGCATTTTAAGAGCTGGATTACAATATAATAGGACTCCATAACTAGGGAGAAGATGGACTCTGAGATACTACTTGCAGAAGATACTTTTTTTTTAATGATGATTCTTTGTGCTGAAATTGCTCGTGCTGCTCTTCAGCTTGAAAATGCCTTTCTTTTTTTTTATCCAGCTTAATAGTATTTCATGTCAGTTACTCAATACCAATAATTCTTTTATTCCTTAGCTAGGAGATACTGCAGAGAATGTTTTCAACTTTTGGGATGTTTGGAATTAGCTTAATTCTTCAGCTTTCATTAAGGATTAGTCTCTGCTAGGAATAGGTGCTGCTTTTACTTCTTAACAGAGACTCATCATAAAAAAAATTCTGGGGTTGAACATAAAGTTCAGATTAGCATCAGGATATGTTTGCAGTTTTGTATATGTTTGGAGTAATTTCTAAATAGTAATGAGTATCACTGCATCTTCTCTTTAGTAAAACAGGTCTGGTGACTACAACTTGGGAAAGACTGTATTTCTTCACTCAAGGTGGCAACTTGATGTGTCAGCCAAGGGGAGCAGTAGCTGGGGGATTGATTCAGGACCTGGACAACTGCTCTGTTATGGCTGTAGACTGCGAAGACAGAAGATACTGCTTTCAGATCACTACTCCTACAGGCAAAGCGTATGAGACAGGTTTTATTAGAAGACAGCCAGTCACACCTACCCTTTCAGTTGCTGTTTCATGTAAAACACGCTTGCTATAATAGTAAGCCTTTCTGGGTTTCCAGAAGGGTGTTTCCAAATTAAAAGCATGTTCCTTGCCATCCTCCCCCACAACTGCCTGAACAGCACATGCGGTATCCTTTAGCTGCAGCTTATTTGTGATTTTTGTTCCTTTGATGGTTAATAGATACAAAGGTTGGTGACGTTATTGTAAGACTTGGAGTCAAACAGTCCCGGTGTCCACTGTTAGCACTGATACAATATGTTTACATTTTAGGGGTATAACCCTTCAAGCAGAAAGCAAGAAAGAATACGAGGAGGTAAAAATATTTTCTTAATGTTGTTATTCTTGTATGCAAGTGAGCTTGAAGAGTTCAATTTCATGTTTCCCTTCCAGTGGATATGTGCCATCAACAACATCTCCAGACAGATCTATCTCACTGACAATCCAGAGGTGGGAGCTTGTTTCCATCTTTCAGTCCGTTCCTTCCAACTTGCTTTCCCATTGTTCTTTACATGGCAATGTAAAGTACGTGTGTAAAAGAGCAATTCGGTCTTGTTTTCATAGGCAGCTGCAATCAAGTTAAATCAGACAGCCCTACAAGCAGTGACTCCCATTACCAGCTTTGGGAAGAAACACGAAGTTCACCACCCCAGGTAACATTCTCACTTGCACGGGCTGTGTGCTCAGTCACGCCCTTTTCACAGGGCAACAGTCACCCGAGAGAAAGCCCTGTCTAGGCCCTGGCTTTACAAGCCTGTGTGGTCCACCAAATTCCTCTACTGTGGGTGTTTCCTACTGAAAGCTGTAAGAGATGCTACATGTTGAGGCTAATGCTTATTGCTCCACATCACAGCTTTGAAGCTCCTTGCGGTTGCCATTGGGATTTTACTGTTTCTTCAGAAACAAACACAATGTTTTACTTGTAAGCGCTTTGCTGTAAGGGAATGACTTGTAAGCTGGGTAATACAGCAGAGCCCCCAGTATACACCGAAGTCAATATATTCTTGCATATTACCTCAAGCAGTTCCTGTCGGTCTGTCACAGGAATATGCCTTACACAGCTGTCAGAATAATTACTGTTGCTCTCTTGTGCTCATTCAGGTCAATCAATAAAGCTCCCCTCCTTCAAAAATTTTTAATAATGCTCTAGGATAGGCTTATATTAAAAATATATATTTTTATGTATCGTTTCTTTGTGTCCACATGATCCTAGCATCTTGCTCAGTGGGAATTCTTCAGACTTCATCATCAGAGTTGGCTTTCAAGCACAGTGCTGGACTGAAATCCTGCTTTCAGAAGCGGTGTGATAAATAAAGTAGGGCAAGTTTGTGTCACGCTGACTTCAGCATGAAGAGACTTCTCTGCAAGTTTTGTCAGAAAATTGTAAATTCTTACTCGGATATTTACTTCTAGAAATTCAAACCTTTTCCAGATCTTCTGCCTCTCAGGCCAGTGCCTTTACTATGATTTATGATTCCCTTTATTATGATTGCTTACAGATTTCAAATATTCCCTATAGCCATGGGGAATGCCAGTCAATCTCTTTCTCATTTTATTCACAGTACAGCTGTTTCACTTTGATTACAGATTTATAAATAGCAGAGCATTGCCATCTATTTCACTGAGCAAAAGAAATAGCTATTTCATTGACAGCTAATCTCCCAAGTCACTTTTACATCTGTATGCAACCAGAAAACTTTCTAGAAATAGAAGGATGCTGCTAGTAAACCCAGTGTACCGTACGTAGTGATGTGTACAGTTACGACTTCTGTAGCTGTGGGAAACGTAGCATTTCATTCTCTTTGAGAAAAGGTGCAGGAAGGAATCTGACCCAGGATGTAACACTTCTTCTCAACTATCACATTGCAACAAGCCTGTGGCCAAGTAGGATCTGAAAAAGATGTCAGGATTGCCGTTGACACCTGTAGGCACAAGGTGTCAGTGCTGTTTGAGCTGGTAATGCAGCTGTAAATATGGCCACTAGAGGACAGGGAGGCAAACAGCAACCTGTTGCTGAAAGTCTGCCCACACCCAGAGTTGATCTGCATTCAGGTTTAATATTCCAGCATTTACTTTTTTCCTAAGTAATTTTAGGTACAAAAAAATAAAACGGAGATTTTATTAGAGTCCTCAGTAACAGGTAAATAGGAAAATACTCTTTGTTATGTTTATGTATAGTGGTTCAATCCCGCTTTGGATTTTTGAATAATCTTGTCTCCCTTCCAGAGCAAAGACAGGGTGTCATTGATTGAAACTTTTTTTTTTCCTGTTTTCACTTTAGCCAGAATGTAAAGAATATGGAAAATGATAAAATAATTCCCAATGAATCAGCTGGCATTCAAGACTCCACACAACTCATTGCTCCTGGAACACCGATTCAATTTGATATCGTACTGCCTGCCACAGAATTCCTGGACCAGAACAGAGGTGGCAGGTATGGCCAGAGACAGTGATCGATCACTTTAACAGAGTGATTTCAGGGGAGAAAATTAGGTATTGCAGCATGTGTGTGTGGTGACCAGAACCTGTAATTAGAGTTCTTATTCTTATTTCATAGGCGTGCAAACCCCTTTGGGGAATCTGAAGACAGCAGCAAAGATGAGGAGGAAGGTCAGTGCTTCATTTTTCCGGATAAAATTAGTCATGATTTTAGGCCTAATTCAGCTGTCAGCTATCCAGTGTCTCTTAATGAAAGGCACCTGACTCCATGGAGCAGCGGTAACAGGTCCATAGTACCGTTGAAGGTAGTTCCTTTCAGAAGCCAGTCTTTTAAACATCGCTACCTGTAAAAACAAACACCTTTTTCCTTGACAGTCCAAGCTGTATTCCAGATTAGGTTTATTTCAAATGTTTAAAGGCAAAAAGATTTGGTTTGCTTGCTTTTTGTCTTTCATTCGTTTTCTTTTTTTAAAAAAGGAGCTGTTGACTTCTTTAGAAAGGGTTTGATGGGACTGTATTACAATTCTGCTCAAGTTTGAGGCTGCTTAGTAGCCATTTCTTACCCACTTGTACTCTGAAACCCACAGTCTAAACCTCACAGAGGCCCAACATACAGCCGGCAGCAGCAACGTGTCTCTTTCAGCAAAGGGAGTTTCTTACCGCTGCCCCCTTTCCCTCCTCCCAGTGACATGCCAGGAAAAGTCAGCAGTTCTGACCTTCATCTACCAGCACATGCAGGGCTCAGACCCTGGCTGTTCTCCTCTTCCTCTGTGCCAGTTACAAACCGCTGTCTGGAACCCACAGCCCCGTCAGAAAACTACTCGCAGAAGCTACTGATTTGAACGCTCTCACTTGCACGTGCTGTCCCATTGTGGGGTAGGATGGTTGCAAGGTGCCCGACAGCAGCGTAGCTGCGACAAGCAGCCACCTCCGTGCTGTCAGCAGCAGCAGCACCCTGCTCCGCTGCGGCATGCAGAAGAGAGTACAGTGCTTAGGTGACTGCACATGGATGATGTCTTTGTCGCATAATGGCTACTTAGTTGTAAATAGGAGTCTTAGGGTGATAGTTAATGAGCAAGGAAGGATTTAATGAAAACCTCGCTGGAACCAGCTGCATGGAAGGTCAGAAGGACATAGAAGGAAGCGAGGAATGTACAAGGTTTACAGATAGGAGTTAATTTGATGGAAGCCAAGGCTTGTGCACAATCCTAAATTTATCACATTTTATGTGCACAGTTTACATGCACCTGATAAGAAGATAGGCAAGTGAATTTTACTAGCTAATCAAATAAGGCATAAAGGACCAGTTACACTTCTAAAGCTTCTAAGCAACTGTGATTCCACACCTCCCCCCCCCGCCGCTGCCAATTCAAGCACTGTTTAAAACTGGGTCAGAGCACTGCCTGGCTCATAGCAGGAAGTCACTGCCCCCGCAGTCACCACCCACAGATTTAGTATTGAGTTTCCAAAGTGAAAAAAATAATTTCATTGATAACTTCAGCTACTGGAAAATTGAAGTAGCACAGTGAAGGAAGTCATGCCTTTTATCTTCCAGATTCGCTCTTGCAGCAGATGTTCGTAGTTCGGTTTTTAGGATCTATGGCTGTTCAGTCAGATGACACAAGTGAGGTGATTTATGAAGCTATGAGGCAAGTGTTAGCTGCTCGTGCCATTCACAACATATTCCGTATGACTGAATCCCATCTCATGGTCACCAGCAAGAACTTGAGGTACTGTAAAACCTTAAACTTGTCAACATTCTGTTCTCGTCATATTACTTGTGATTAGTAAAGTATTTTCGGTCTTGTTTCTCCAAGAAATACACCCTTTTGGGAGCAAGATCCCGAGATTCACTTTACTTACTAAAAATGCCTCTTTTCTTACTCTGTAGTGTCTAGAAGTCATCCTCCCAACTAAGTTGTAAGAACATCCTGCTAAAATTTAGGGGATGCAGTGGGGCTGTGAGGCCCTGCAAAGATACAGAAAAAGATGCAAAAAAAAAATGCACTGGAAGATTCTCTTTCCTTACATGTAGTAACAGCACGAGAGCCATCGCCGTCCTGTTGTCAGTATTGTCACCGTAGGGTATGTTGATACAAGACATTTGCTTTAGCTGGAGTGTGTTTATGTCCGTATGTATACGCCCATACACTCGGGATGCTTACCAAATTAGTGATCAAGCAGCTGAGAGTCAGGGTCTAGAGTTGAACCTCGCTGTCGGCTGACCTGAAATCACAGGTAAAGCATTTGATTCTGTGCATATGTTTCCTCATCTGTAAAACTGCTGTAGTGATTGCCTTACTGTTATAAAGCACCTAGAAATTACTAAGAATCACTCTAAAATAATTTACTTTTTTTTTTCACTCAACTGCAGGTTAATAGATCCTCAAACCCAAGTTACACGAACAAGTGTAAGTAACGTTTGTTTTGAATCTGTTTTTTGACCGCAGCATTGAATACTCAGTCACATGAACTTGAGCTCTTGACCAAGCTAACCATATGCTGCCTAAAAAAAATCAATTCTTTATTATACTTTCCCAGTTTGAGCTCGCCACTGTGACACAGTTTGCTGCTCATCAGGATAACAGGCGACTGATTGGCTTTGTGGTCCATCTCAGTGAGACTCTGGGAGAAGAAGCCATGAGCGCATATATTTTTGAGAGCAACACAGAAGGGGAAAAGGTTTGCGTAACATTTAATAAAATACTTTATGTAGAAAGCAGGTCTCAGGCTTCTTGGCTTACACATCTGGGAAACGGTGCTATAGAAGCAAGAGCAGCTCCGTTTCTTGCCAAGAAAACATGCCTTAACATGCAAGCCTTTGATGGCTTACGTCTAAAAAGGACCGAATTGACAGATAATGCAGCAGCACGTACAACAAGGAGGAAAGGACGCGATTGCTAATACCAACATTGAGAGAGAGGGGAAAGTGTGCGCGTCTAGCACCAGCACGAACAAAAATGAGCGTCAGCTATGTTGAGGCATGTACATCTGTAAAGCTTTCAAAGACGAGACAGCCATACTGTGTTAACACCACTGGGTGCTTGCTGCGTATGGTAGCAACAGGCTATGAGAAATAAGGAACGTGCTGGAGAATTTTTGTCTTAAAAACCAGTAACGCTCTTACATGCGCTGGCAAAGATCCCCCAGGTTTGGAAATAAAGTTTGGTGAATAAAACTGAGTTGAGTACAGAGACTTACCAGCCCAAGTGAGCTTTGAAGCAGAACCTAAGATAGATAGTTTTATTTTTATGTCGTTAGGGTGGTGAATTGGTATTCCACCTCTGCTTTTAGACCTACATTTAAGACTAAGTTTGCATTGACACTTCCGTGTTTTACTCCCAATTAAGGAGCAAAAAAACCCCAAACCAAACCAAAACTGAACTTTCCATACATTTCTTTTTTTAGATTTGCTATGCCATTAGCCTGGGAAAAGAAATCATTGAGGCACAAAAGGTAAAAGTTTGTTTCATTCCCCATGTCTGTGTCGTGATATATCATATTCTGCTTTTGGTTGCACTGTCCGGGTACCTCTGGTGTGCCTGAGAAAAAGGAACTGCTGTTCCTCCTAATGACAGAGTTCTGCGGACATTATTTAACACAGCCCCTGGGTAGTTCATGCAAAAAGAAACTCAGTTTGACTTGGCAGTAGCTTGATTCGAGATAAAATTTGCCACCCTAAATCAAATTCAGAACTATACAAATCCGGTTGTTCATGTTTGAAAGGAAGCTGTGAGCAAAGCTTTCAACAAAACCCCAAACAAACTCTTTGGGATGAAATGTAAATCACACACATCGCGGTTTCACTTTTAGAAACTCGTATTCCTTCCTCCCTTAGGAGGTGTTTTCCCACTTAAAATGAACGGCAGTTATCTAGCCCCTTGTAGCTAAATTTACGTGTATAAAGATGTGACACTAGTCCGTTAATATTTGCTCTATATTTTTGCTGCTAAGATTTCAGAACAAGTTGGGGGAATGAGCTTTTAGTCACAGGCAATAAGCACAGGTATGGTAAATAACTTTTAGTTATTTTTCTCCTTGTTTTTCAGTAATTACATCAATGCCAGATAAGAACAGCAAAATAAAGGCTTAAAATGAATGACTTTTTTTTTTTTCTTCTTATAAACCCAAGGGGTGGTTTTACTGAACCAAAAGGGATTATGTCTCAAACCTTTGACTAAAGGTTGTCATTAAAAAAAAAAAAGTTGCAAAACCTGAACAAGAAGTACTGGGAAAAGCGCGTGCTCCTCAAAGCTTGCTGCAGCCTGCTCAACTCTCTCGTTTGTTTTTCTTCAGGACCCCGAAGCATTAGCTCAGCTAATGAAGTCTGTGCCATTAACGAGTGATGGAAAGTTCATGCTTCTGAATGATCAGTCAGAAGAGGATGGAACCGTACGTGAAGAAGGGGAGGAGTCGGAAGCGTAACAAACTCTTGTCCTTTCCTGCAGCCTGCCTGGGAGCAGGAAAAGCAGGGAGTCGTTTTACAAGAACCTCTGGTTTTCAGCCGTCTGCGCGCACACAAGGCCAGCTGCTGTCTTCCCGCTAGAGAGAGCGCGGCCTCTTTGCAGTGGAGTTCCCTCTGGATTTACAATGGAACAGCAGCAGGACTTGGCCTTGGAGGCTTTTTGCATTTGTGAGGGTGTAGCGTATAGGTGTGCCTGGGAAGCTGACAATCGTCGGGAATGTTTCAGCATCGGCCCCTCGCCGCCGGTAGTTAGGACAGGGCAGCTGTCAGCCACAAAGGGTTAATGTCGTTCCTTCAGATTTACATGGTGAGCAGCCTACAGTTCCACTGAAATTAGTGCAGGCTGTAAGCTGTCGGCTCCTTTAACAAGTATCAGGCCTCAAATTTCCTATCGTAGTCAGTTTTCATAGTTTGCATGATTATGTGCATCTGAATGAAGGTTAAAAATGCACTATTTACTTTATTTTCAGATGAAGTTATTTTTAGTCTAGTCTAAGTAAGTGTAACAAGGTCTATCTCTTGTGCTAGCCTATTCACAAAACAATTTGTTAAACACTAAATTTTTCCTATTAATATAATTATTTTTATATTGCATCTAGAATAAGCTTACAAAACAAATCTTAAGTGCCTGCTCTTACCTTCATGGGGACCGCACTCCCACATTCTGTAATTAAATAACGGACGTAATGTACCTCCTGGATTTATTACTCTCAATGCCACTGACATGCAGACACCAGAAGCAGTCAACGAACGTGGCATCTTAGTTGCGTGCAGTTCTCCTGTGGTTAGGTTTCTTAAAAGTTAAGTTGCCGGAGATGGTAATTGTAGGACGAATAAGTACTTTTATAAGAATTCTTTGTATTTTTAACATTATGGTGACATACAACAGCAGAGTCTACCAGCAATCTTTGGTTTTAAGAAACTGAGCAATAAAATGCTAGCTTGTAAGTCTACAATGTATCGACTAGTCTCATAGTACCTTCCTGAAGTTAGACACTAGATGATAAGATTTTTTTCCCTTCCAGTTTAACCTGAAAAGATGAGAAACTGTACTTTGCAAGAGCAAACAAAAATAAAACAAACGCTAGTTATCGGGGGGAGGGGGGGGCCACACATAATCTGTGGCATAGTTTGTATTAATCAAGGTAAGATAACTGGAACAAATGGTTGAAATTCTTCACATTTAATATAACTCTTCTCAAGCACTTACTAGGAAACTAGATGTTCTGTAAGCGGAATCTGCTACAGCATCTGAAAGATCCCAGTTTGCAAGCATTTGACATGGAATAAGTTCAATTTAGCTAGTTGTTGAACGTTTAAAAGAACCGTGGAAGAGAACTGGTAGTAACTGACACAAAAACTTCATAAATAAAAGCTGAAGCTGTCTTATTAAGAAAATGGAC